TGTGGATTAATTCGGAATCATTTTGATCTACCGAACAGTAGTCCACTTTCAAACACCAAATACCTAATAAATGATGATAAGTGTCTAGATGACTTGAAGTTAGTCGCTTCAAAGCATATCCATGAATAAGACTCTAAAAATAGCATGTTCTCATAGTTGTGTTCCAGATCGGGAATGTTTAAACCAACAACAGTCAGATAAGTTTTGGATCTAGTAATATACTATCAGAACAGAACTTTTGTTTTGATAAAATAGGGGGAAGACTGGTGGTCAAACACTTCCGCTCATCGGCAAAGTCCTCAACCAAATTTTTTTGAACCGAGTCATTAATGCATTAAGTAAATTCATGTCACAAAAGTAAACCCACTGTTCGTGTGCGGAATATTCAGTTAAGCATGACCAAGAGTTATTTGTAAGATAACAAATGATGAATATAGGTCATATGTCGACCCTTTCACCCACTAAACCAAATACTCATATTATTTGTCAATAGTATTAAGCGTTTTCTAACAAACTTAAACCTCATAATAGGCTTTAAAGTATATATTGTTTCACTTTATTAACCTTGAATGACTTATATTTTCTTTCCTTGCAATATAAATTTAGCTGACCTTTTATTTTGACCTCGACGTTATAAATCTTTAGTAAACTGATTTTTCCGAACGCGAATATAAACTAATCGCCAAGATATGGGGAAGTCAATCGATTTTTGCTAATAAATGACCTTAATATCAACCTGATTATCGAAGCCAGGTTTATTGGGTTTATTCGAAAACTAGACAATTCAGTCACCCAAAGCAATACTTTTTTAATTTGTGTGATACATAAGTATAATTTCACTGCTATTGCTACAAATAATAACACTACTTCTAACGTTTGTTACCCCTCGTAGAACATAGGTCGCCGACCAGGATTCTCCGACCAATACTGCTCTCGGCTCTCCTTTCCAGCTGTTACTCATTCTTTTGATGTTTCCCTCGAATTTCCAAATCAGCGTGTCCTTAGTTCCTCCACTTCACCTTTTACCTTCAGGATTCCAGGTTTGAGGTGACCTCTTGATGCAGATTGATGATTTTCTCAATACATGTCCTATCCACCCCCGGCGTCTTTTCTTAATTTTCTCTACAGCTGGAAAATGGTTTGTTCCGTCAAGTTATCTCTCAGCATTTCTGCAGCTGCTTGATTAGTCCTTCTAGTTTCCTACATTGTTCGGACATTCCTAAAAGGGGAATCTACCCCGTGATTTACGAAGAATCTCGTCTTTTACCATGAGGCGTCATAACTCTTCTAGATGAAGAGCCTTCAACTCTCAGTACAGAGTTTAAATAGTTTAATTTGGGTTTTTTTCTGGTTAGTGTGTTTTAGTAAAGTCGTGTTCTACGGAATGGAGTTTTGATCATATGTTCAAACCCCTCTTCTATATGGGCTTAGGACCATCAGTAGACCTGGAATGGCTACAGGTGGAGCTATAGCTTCATAATAAATGGAAGTTTTCAAATAGGAAAATGTGAAAGATGTTTCATTATAGAAGAATCACTGTCAGGATACTATGAAGTTTATGTGTTTACATGTCTTATCTCAAACATTATTTCCAAATTAATCAATACTGATATATTTATTAAATAAGGCAGGAGTAATTGCAACGGTTGAACTCTAGATAGATTATTCTTAAGCGTTCTACTTGTCATATTTTTCTGTAGACACAATGATTTATGTCTATATTTCATAACATTAAGTGTGGAATACAGATGAATTTTGTCGTATCTTAGAAATACATTTTTTCCTACTAAAATAATGTTGCTCAGATAGCGGAACTGAGATAAAATTATAAAATCAAAGTACCGGCTGATTCTAAAATTATAGCTATAGTGAACATCGCCTTGATAATCAACCGGCCTATTTGATTGACTGGTCAACTATTAAGTCATAGATGAGTTAGATAGAAATTCGAGAAAACAAGACTTACATTTTTGATGATATCAAGACGGTGTTTATTTTGCACCAATAAATAGTATTTATATTGTCAGTATAAAAGAACGAACGATAAAGATGTACTAATACTAAAATGCTCGCTATACAAGTGTCGGATGGGAAGAGGACAAAACACGTGCTCGTTTTTTGAATATAATCCTAGTCATTCATGTTTGAGTTACATAAGAGTACACTTTAGAAATACAGAAAACTTCATAAGAAATCAGTTAGAACTGGATAAACGGCCGAGTGTAAATACTTTATTGTTTATCTATAGTTTGACAAGGTAACTACGCTAGAATGACAAGTAGTCATCATCATTTTTGATTCATTGAACAATCTCCAGAATGACTGAATCAAACGTTTACTTGGTAAAAATGCTCAAATTCAATCATTATATATAACTTGCAAGTAAAATGTTTAATTTATAATAGCTTACAAATTATATCTTTTTCTAAATAGGAAAACACTCACAAACTTTGCTAATATATTTAAATAAATATGTTGAAACGATCTGTCTAGGTGATGTGTAGATACAGGTATTGCACATGCAAAAATCCAAGGGATTTGTATACGCCTATTTTACACAAGTCCAATTTCATTTCTCTAATTACCTTGAGCACTTCAAAACCCGAATTCTCTTTCCAAATAATTTTGTTGTTTTTCTTCCATTTCTGATACGACACTTGTGTGAATGACAAAATCTAAAACAATCGTCTTCTTCTTAAATTCATCAATTGTATGCATTTGCCGCCCGATTATACTATCAATTAATGTGACTAAATATTATATGTTTTTTATAAAAATAATAAAAACATGGTGATTAAATCAACCAAGAAAAGGAGAACACAATACCTAAGAAACTTAAATTCAAATGATTTAAACTGGGGTCATTTTTGTTTTCTTTTAATGATAAACAGACTTAATAATAACTATGTATATAATTGTTTCAGACTAGCTGAATGTTGCTTTTTTCTGGTAATTTCTGATAAATCTTATGTCATAAATCACTCATTTATTCATAATTGATAGTTAATTAACTATTAAGTGGTTTTCCTTCCTTTCAAAATAAGAATCCCAAACTAGAATACTATTGTTTATGTCAATTTTCAAATGAAGGTGATGTTTAGGAAAGAATCGGATATTAGTCAATTCCATATTTTTTTAAAAATATACTTATGATATATTAGAAATGTATGTTTATTGGATAATTTGATCTGATAATATTACACAATGAAAATGGATAAAGTACTTCTCCATCGTTAAATTAACGGTTCACTCAATGTATAATTACTATATCAGTAATAGTGGAGAAAAATATGTGCTTACATATACAATCATTACTTTTCAAAAATTATTGAAATTACTATCATATCCAAAAAAATCCTTCTGATACTAATCAATATATGCTCACTAATGACTGACTTCAAGAAGCATTTCCTGGAGTTCTAGTGAGGAACCGTGACCAGTGGAGTTCAACCGGGTCTGTTGTCAGATAGTAACTCACTGAACGTGTCGCTTAATTTCATGGATTAGTTGAAGTCAGACATTAATACCATTGGATGCTGACTCATCGGTCTAATGGTTAAGTGTTCGCGCGCAAGACAGATAGGTCCTGCGTTCGAATCTTGCAGGGAGCGAGATCGTGGACGCGCATTGCTGAGGAGTCCCTCAATAGGACGAAAAGGCTGTCCAGTGCTTCTAAGTTTTCCATGGTGGTCTAACTGCAATTGACTCATGATCTCAACTATTAAAAATAAAGAGTTATTTAAACACACTTCAGATGATTGTTTTAATCTTCATATTCAGTAAATAATTATCAATGTTCATCTTTGTTTTAAACAAAACTTATTTAACAACTGAATTATATACGTGACAGATAAGTATGAAAAATATAATTAACCAAATTATGTAACTGTGAACAAAACAAGATTGATGAAAATTGGACTGATTTTTTTTATTCGATTTAATTGTTTTTTCTACTATTTCAAAATATAGTTTTAAAGAGAAGCAATAATGTATGCACAATAAGTTATCCGTGACAATAGAATTTACTTCGCTTCTAATTCAATATATTATAGTTTATTCAAGTTTTATTCGATTGAACATGATTACTGAGAAAATATTTTACTTTTATTCAGTAGTCTATCGAATGGAACGTTTTTTTTATCCCAATGGAATTCAGGTTATTTATTATGTACACATCTTTAAATGTTAACAATTACAAGAGAACAGAAATGTATTCAACTTTGTTTTGAATAAATCGATTAAATCATACTCACAATCGTTAATGAGAAACTTTATGCCTCAACGTTATTATTTTTTTATAACTTTAAGTTAGAATTCTTAACAATGGACCGAAACAAGTATTATAAAGATAAAACCTATGATCATTAACCCTTAATCGAAATATAAGTGTGTGAAAATACTATACATATAATTGCTATATATTATAGATAATCACTATGTAATCTGTCAAGACTTATTTTTAATATCAAATTGTAGCTTTTTTTTAGATGAACAAACATAAATAAATACATTATACTAATAATTCAGTGTATAGAATACCCTACTGATCGAAGATCATTATAACATAATGATCGATGTTGGTTGTGATGTAATCTCAAAATAATTACATTGATTTACACTGATAATTTCAGGATTAAATATTAATTATTTATTAAAATTTAATTTATATACCACTAATTAAAAGATAATAAAAATTCATTATTCAATCATAAATTTCAGCTATACCTTACTTTCTCGTGAACTTACACCCATATTTTGATATTTATTATTTACAAATTTTCATATTAAGAGTATTGCCAACAAAATACCATGATAGTAAGACAGCATAAACTATATATGTCTGCCTTAACAACAAATTCAGTCAAATTTAATTGTAATTTAGTCTATTAATTCTTAGATCATTCCTGCTCATATATATATATATATATATATATATATATATATATATATATATATATATATGAGATAGAGTGATTTACTCCGATTTATTTGTTTTACAGGCGATAATTCATGTGTACGTTGTCTACGTAGTTCACCGATTGCATCTTTAGTTGGTTTCATTATTGTATTATTGGGCGGTGGCGCTTTTGGTGGAGCAATCATTTTTGCAAGACGTTATTTAATTACACTTTTAAATGCTCCTAATCTGTGAGTTGTTTATTTATCTGTATGTTGCATTAAATATATTAATTTTTTTAATAAAGTTGATTTGTATGGTTAAGCTTTTATATAAGTTGAAAACTTTTGTATTTTCCAATGATGTTTTAGGAAATGGAATATAATTCAACGATGTTTATACACAATATGTATAACATCAACAACAGTACAACTCAAAATGAATAACTTAAGCCTATCCAAGCTTTTCTCACTATGTTCTGTTGAATACATAATCAAATGTCAAATTATCAGAATCATAGTTTCTGCAATTAAGAATTTTGAAAATTTTTAAGTTTTGTATGCATAATAACTACAGTTACTCAATAATTAATATCACTGATATACAGACTCCAGTGATAGTTTCAATGATTTTTGTTTATTGTCAAATTTGAGATGAAATGTTCAAATACACGCATATACATCAAGGCTAACGAAGTCTGTACACTCTTAGTACATTCCAAATCATTATGATATAGATTTTAAATGCAGTTTTCAAATGAAATCTAAACAAAATTGTCTTGTGATTTACACCTTCACAAAAGATACGGCTAGTATTTCTGTAGTAAAGATTTCTTTTAATTGGCCTATTTCAATCACTTGTCATGAATTTGACTGATAATTTATACCAACATAAATAATAAATAATGATCAATCAGATGATTATTATTACTATTATTACATCAGTATACAGTATGGATGGCTTAAATCAAGTTGATATTACTCACAGGAAACTTTTTTATAACCTACTCTGCTGATACTATATAACTTTCAAACATTTAAACATTGCTATTATTAATTTGTAAACGTTTGCATCAACCCGTCGTTAATGTTGAAGACTGAGTCTTGGTCAATCTAAAGTTATAGGTAGTAGATATGTGATAATTAACACTATCGTCCAGATACATCTAGTTTATGAGTCCGAAGTAGGACAAAGAGTTCATCCTGGAACCCACTACTAACCATAAGCTAAGTGTACTAACCAATGATAATCTACAAAATACCAAGGATTAGTTATTGTATATCTCAAGATCTTATTACTTATTTGTAGATTCCCTTACTTGGACTATGCTATTTATGGTTTAGTCGGAGCCATAGGATTATTCTCACTGTTAGCCTACTTACTATGTGCGCTGTCCTCCGGATGGAATGCAAAACACTACTTTGAAAGTAGTCGAAAAGCATGCTGCGGAAGATGCTGTAATATGACGGTAAGTCTTATATTTTGTGAAAATTTATGTCAAAAGAATTTTATCTGTATTCTTCAGAGGTAACCTCATAATTCATCTTTGAAAAATAGAAATATGTTTGTCTGAATTAGATAATCACAGTTTCTAGGAATATGTTTATTGGTTAAATCAATCAGACGATCATTGAAAAACCTGGATCGTTTTTCCAAGTTAAAGCTGTATAAAAAGTAGGCCTTTAGACTCTTAAAATTAGTGACTGTTCTGATGACCGAGATTTCTAACTTCAGTAAATTTTTTATGCAACATAGTTACGATCGAGAACCATACCACTATAAAAATTATCAGAAAATACGGGTAGGTTATGTAAACAAGTATAAGCTTTCGTAATTTTTCATTTTATATTCTTCTGAGGATGCTAGAAAACAACCTGCCATTTTTCTTAACAACTGTTCAATTTATAATGTTTCAACTAAAGATACTTATTTTCCTTAGGTTAGAGTTCCTTAGCATCTAAATTTATTAGCTTTTTAGTACAGAAATTTTGATGGTCTTTGAGTAATTCCTAAATCAACATCATGTAAATACACTCTTAACTGAAAGGAATATAAATATAGTTAGTATTCAATCTTACTATTCTTAACTCTTCTTTTAGGACAATTGATTAACAGCAATATAATTTTTGCCTATCTATTTACTATAAAGTAATTTTTGAATAGAAAATCACTGATGTACTTGATTTCTTTATTTTGTTCCTCATGATTCACCTATCGTCTTATTTTCACTTTGATTAATAACTTGAAATCAGATAAACAAGATCCATGACTTGTATATGTTGTATTTAAGTGTTCAATGAATTTCGATTTCATAAAAATACTTACTTGCTTGAAATTTCACTGACAGAAATTTATCACCATTTCTAAAACTGTACTAATTATCACTGAGTAAACTTCAAATAAATACAGTAATTTACTGTCAACATAACTTCGATTCCTAAAGTTAGTTTTCTTACTTCACTCACATAATAAAATGCCCTTAAATAATCTTGTTTTTAGTTAGGAGTTTAACAGAAAAGCTTAGAACAAAAAAAAATAATTATCTGAATACTCACTTGAAACCGTGTATTTCGGTTAGATAGTTAATTTAAATGCTTCTCAAAATGTTTACACTTAGTTATTCATTGATGTTTACATTCACGATTATCAGCTATTTTACAACTCCACTGATTGTTAGTGGTCAGTAAACAATGACAATTTAAATAATTTATTTATATTGTGCTTATCGATTTGTACTATTCTCATACTACCGAAAAAAATGTTGAAATTTTTTTCTTGTAACCCAGTCAACTCCAGCTCTCAAATCGAATTACTGAATGTAAACTTTAAAGGCTCCTAGTATGCATGAGAAGAAAAACTCTATGCTGTTTTTTTTTGGAAGAGTACTTCAAAACTAATATATGGTGAAAAATATTTGATTCATGATAACCGGATGTTGACTATTCATTACATCAGATACAATGGTACTATTTTGTGAAGTTTCACTGTGGCCATGAAAGTTGCAGGCTTTTGCTTATGTTTAATGTACCTGTAGATACTTCTGTAAGAGTAGTTGGACAAAAACGGTAGTGAAAAGATTTATCTCGTCCGTAATTTTCTTACTCTATCGGTAGTAGTTTGATCAAGAATCTATAAACAACTGGATTTTATCAAATATTTCCTTATCTATCTAATCTAATCAGAAAACTGATTTTTGTTGAAAGATACACATTTGGGCATTATTAGTATGAAGAACTTACATCTAGAAACACATTTCAAAATGGTTACAAGTAGTTACTTTTTTGAACATTTTAATTAAGCTAACTAAAGAAAAATATTTGGCAAAACTAATCCATTCATTAATTCCTCAGTAAAAATGACTCATAATAAACTATACAAATAACAACAACAAAAATAACAGAAAATTTGAAACAGATTTTCGGACACATAGTTTATAAAACTGTAATCTCACAGGTTGAAATCATGAGTTAATCTGAGCTAGACCACCATTGAAAACCTGGAAGCACTGGACGGCCGTTTTGTCCTAGTATGGGACTCCTCAGCAGTGCGCATCCATGAGCCCGCGCCACGCGGGGCTCGAACCCAGGGCCTACTGGCTTCGCGCGCGAGCACTTAACCACTAGACCACTGAGCCGGCATCCAACGGTGTTAATGTCTAACTTCAACCAATCCAAGAAGTTGCGCCACCGTACACCATTGTCTTCAGTGAGTTGTTATCTCACAACAGATCGGTTGAACTCCACTGGTAACGGCTTCTCACTAGAACTCCAGGAGTTTTTCCTGAAGTCAGTCACTGGTGAGCAGTTGTACGGTGGCGCAACTTCTTGGATTGGTTGAAGTTAGACATTAACACCGTTGGATGCCGGCTCAGTGGTCTAGTGGTTAAGTGCTCGCGCGCGAAGCCAGTAGGTCCTGGGTTCGAGCCCCGCGTGGTGCGGGATCGTGGATACGCACTGCTGAGGAGTCCCATACTAGGACGAAACGGCCGTCCAGTGCTTACAGGTTTTCAATGGCGGTCTAGCTTCAACTGACTCATGATTTCAACCTGTGAAATTTCTAAAACTCTCCACAAAACCCATTCTGATAAAACTGTAATCATTAAATCTGTAAATACGGCCATTCTGTCTCATTTAACGAACATAATGTTGATCTGGCAATTATAATGATTACCATGTATATGTTTCTAATCGATAGAACGTTTTTCAAATGTGTTGAATTAATGTGGTTTATAATTATGTTCATCCTTTTAAAATTAAGTTTTATAAATGTCTAAGTTCTTCGTTAAACGATAAACAACAAAACAAGAATAGAACATTTATCATTATTTTCATATGTAAATATTTATAATCATTATACTATGGAAACCAAATGTGTTTAATTAGCTGAATGTAAACACTTAACACACAATGACCTTCATATTAAAGTACAGTTCAAAACATCTAGAACTAAGGGAAATAACATCTTTTAGATGAATCACTATCTATCTACATTTCAAAACAAATAAAACTAATTTCGATAATGTAATATGCAGACGAAGATTATCAGAACTATGTGTTCACATTATTATTATTACTCTTATCATTATCCCTATCCTCTCTTACCTCATTTTCAGTCTAGTTGACCTTCTATTTTTATATATAAATGCCCTTAACAAGTATATGTGTGACCAGATTGTTCGAAATGTATTGCGCTAATATATCACATAGTTCTGATAGTCTTCGTCTTCTTATTACATTATCGAAATTTATCAAGGGACTAATTGTTTTAAATAAAACTAATCTGACCTAATGTTGAAAAAAATAGATCAAAAATAGAATAAAATGTATGGTTAGGATCATTTTTACGAATAAGTGTTTAATTCTAAGATATCTTTCATTAATTTTGGATTCTGATAATGTTCACACGAACTTTCATCCGAGTATCATTTGGCATACACGCAAATATACGTTACATACACATCGATAACACATAGGTTATATCTCACGACATACACATAGGTATATTCACCCACTTGGGAGAGTAGATATTCACCGATCCCAATGAAAACGTATTCGCTACACCAAACTGACTGTTACACATTATATGCATATCATTCACACTATGACTACCGCCCCAGTACTTCCGAACGCACACATAAGCACTCTCTCAAAGGAGGTTGTTGGTCACCTCTCCTTAGTATTTTCTACCACCTGTATTCATTATGTCTTCGACATGATAGACTAGGTCCCTCATTTTATTAGACATAGGGTAGACGATATTTCAGCGAACGTTTCTATTACACGACACCACACGCATGTTGTTGGCATATACGTACACACATGAACTACATAGGCCCGAGGACGTCTGTAATTCCTATACATAGGTATACACAGCAGGTGACCTGGTGCGGTTAAGTGGACCCTAAGTTGAAACCCGAGTAAATCAAGGATACAATTGGGTGATTGATTAACCTGATCTCCGTCGTTGTAAGATTTAACAGTTCTTAAAAAAAAACAGATAATACCAAAAATGTTTTTGCTCAATCTGTATCTTATCTGTTAATTCCATAAATCAATGCAGAACATATTATTTTCCATGTACATTAAAGAATGTCAGAATAACTGCACATTTACCATCTACTAGGCTTTTAACGGATATTATGATGATGATGATGATCATCATCATCATCAGCATCTTAATCCTTAATTAACAAATCTATCCACAAAACATCAGTTATATTAGTGTACATCCCTTAATTGAGAACTACATCAAAATTTACATATTGTATCTGTTTTTAAACTAATTGCTTAATACTATTAAGTTTACTCACCTTTATCTTGATTTTCATCTCTATATATAACACTAAAGTGTTTTAGAATTAATTATTATCACTATCACCATTATTTATTTCTATTTTGTTTATTTACGGATATTAGAATGACATACCCACTTTAACTACTAAACACATGCAAATATGAATCATCTTTCAGTGTTCTATCCTTTTTACAGTATTAAATAAAATAATCAGAAATCAATTTGTTTTGTTGTTGTGTTGTTTTCTTTTGGAAGTATTAGAATACAATAGAAGTTTATCTATGCATCAAAAAAAAGAAGGAAAACCTTAACACTTCTTTTTACTTTATTATTGATGGAGAAAAATAATAAAACATACCCATATATGACATAGGTAATTTTCTAAAAGCATTTGAAAGAAAAACAACCCAGAACAACAAACACTTATTTATGATTCATTATTTCCGTTGTATTTCACTTCTTTATTAAATGTTCTTAAAGTATGTTCTTCTGATATAAAAATGATTCAAATTTCATAGAAGAGGATAAACTGTTTAAAATTTTTGTTAAATAAACTAAAAGTGCCCATAATAAGAAAGCATAACAAACAGTAATAGAGATTAATAAAAATTAGTTTTGAAGTAGAACATCAAAAACTTAGTCAGGCAAAAATGAAGAAGAAGAAGAAGTAAACACAATGCATACAGAAAAAGAAGAACAAGGAGAAAACAAACCAAACTGTGAAAAAAGTCAACAAGAGACTTATTCTACATAAAAATGATGTTATAGAAAATATAAGTTAATAAATAGTTCAATAGAAAATGAACATGTTGAAATAACTAAATCATCACATCGTGTATTGATAAGACTTGTGTACAATGTTAACATATATGACCGACTTTATTGTATGACTGCCTTAATGACTAGATAACCTTTTATTGACAAATAGTTCCCATTTAAACATTAAAATTAAAACACGAATTTCAGCGAAGGGATCTCTTTTCAACGAATTTATTATCAAGCTGTACAATCGTGTATATATGAAAATTTTGTTTTTGTAAAAGTACTAATTCCGTGAGGAAATGTGAACACAGTTAATAAAAAGGTTATAATACTAGATTACGCAATATGAATAATAACAACAGACTTAGTGAATATAATAAGATGATTAAAATGTTTTTGATATAATAATTAAAGGTCATAGAGGTGTAAAAAATAAAGTGATATGATGAGCGTTCATGAGGATATAAGACATAAGTAAAGGGGGGAATGCAGCAATAATAATAATAATAGTAGGATAATCAAATTAATTAAGGCCAAGGTAACGATAACGATAAGACGTACTTCTTTTGTACGCATAGTTCTGGTTTAAGCTCCTGGATGGTAAGAGCTTCGGCTATTTTTAAAAGTTGGATGCGAAGAAATCCGGGTAGATTTGAACGAATCATATAAACAACCTTAAATTCATTTCTTGGATCTGTGGAATGGTTACAGTCGATTAGGTGTTCAAGTATAGAACTCCTAACTGCTTTCCTTTCCCTCTTATAGAACCAAGCTGGAATATGTTCACTAAGTCTGTTGTTATTATTCATATTACGTAATCTAGTATTATAACCTTTTTATTAACTGTGTTCACATTTCCTCACGGAATTAGTACTTTTACAAAAACAAAATTTTCATATATATACGATTGTACAGCTTGATAATAAATTCGTTGAAAAGAGATCCCTTCGCTGAAATTCGTGTTTTAACCTTTTATTGATTTATTTATGATGTTTAGGTAATATTTTTAGTTATAAGAAAAAGAGAAATCAACGAAGAAAATTTTCTTTTCGACGAAATCATTTACTTAAGCTTTTCTTCGCTTAATTCTCTTTTTCTTATTCAATGGCACTATGGGTTATTTTTAGTTATCTATGTAGATGCGTTATATAAATAATTTAGACATTTCACAAATCGTTTATTGTGTCTAGGTTTGAATATAAAATCTATATTGATTTATAAGTTTGTAGTGATAGGTTTAATTTATAGACAATTTCATCATTACAATAGTTGAAATTATGAGTCATTTGAAGCTACACTACCATGAAAAACCTGGAAGCACTGGACGGCTGTTTCTTCCTAGTATGGGACTCTCATTATTGAACGACATCAATTATTGAGCTGACAATACCAAGTTCAAACCCAGTTGTTTAAAAGGTTATGGCCTTGGTTCTGAATGTGCAATAGGATCCTTATTCCTGGGATGTACTATACTAGGGTAAACAACTATTCACTTTGCCATGGTTCTCTATAGTTTATCAACTGATGTTAATCTATGACTTACATTTGTAGACAGATGAACTCTTACTGTGTGACTGAATTTTTAATTCAATATTCATATTACAAATAAAATCATGATTAGATCATAGTAACGTTGAACCAAAATGAAAGTTATGCAGTTATCATACTCAATAAAACACTCGATTTTTAAGTTACCAGAACTTATATATATATTATTGTATGGATTAATATGTTGCTGTCCAAAATTTGATTATTTTTATCATTTCTGGAAAATAAGGGAGAGAAAAGAGTGTTTTTCTCTTCCCTTTTTATTCCCCTCTCCACTTTATGTTCTCTATGCCCAGTGGATAAAGGAAGTGAACTCGGATTATCCATATCAACTAATAATTGTTTACAATTTTTATCGTTATTATTGTTGTGTCAACATTCGCTTTCACCAATTCCTACTCCTTCTTTCTGTTTTTCTTTGTTTCATTCCATTATTTGCCTAATCCGTTGCTTCCCTCTAAAGAACTACTTTTCTAATAAATGTAACATTTTTATTCTGTTGTTATTATCTTTTTCCTATTTGTATTTCATTAAAATAAGAATTATCATTTTAAATTAGTCAGTCAATCACAATGCAAATAAACTGACTAACTCTTCTCGTGTTCATCAATCAGTTCATTTTAACCTACTTAAAGGAATTAGTGTCGTAGAATCTGTTATCAATATATATTTTGGTAATATTGTTCAAATAGAGAATAGATATTGAAAAAAAAGATATTTGTGATACGTTGTAACGTTATTTTTTTTCTCAAACTTTGGGCCAAAATCACTAAATCTTTATACTCGATTCATGAAGCTTTAAAACTACATTGAAAAGAACTTCTGAAACTGTATTTTGTGACTTTTAGTACTAGAATCCCATATACTTTACTTAATACTTTATTTCAAGGTGACATATACTGTTTATTCTTTATATATATGAAAGTAAATTTCTTTCTAAACAGAGATGATAGCGACTAGCAATGGAATCCAGGACGTGCGTTTCGTTCTATGTGGGGCTCATCACTTGGATGTATCTGCGTCACAGAGTTGATGTCCACTCCGGGACTCGAACCAAGTGCCGTCCACTTCAAACACCATCATGTTATCTACTTAGCTACTGAGTCCAGAAAGCTACTATCTTGTGCAATATGGTAAAGTTTAATTCATTTTTGCATTGTTTGTTCAAATAGCCACCATCCATCTTTGCTTGTAATGCTTATGAATTAAGACAACATAAAGGCAATCTGCAAAGTATGCGCATATGCCAATAGGAGACTGATCAATTGCAGTTCTAAACATCAATGAAGAGATTCAAACAACCAATGCGAAAATGAATTAAATTTATTTCTGCTTTGTATTTATTTACTTATTTATTTTTCACTTGTATTACCCAAAATGTTGGGTAAATTGTATGTCAACAAAAACTGATATCACAAATAGTAGACGAGTCATCTTCTAAAGAAAAACTTTTTGGTCAACACTAATCAATTAACTGAGAAATCATGTCTATATATTTCTCATTGTTACATCACCTGATAATTCAAAATGTATCTAATATTGTAAACAGAAATGATTGTTTTAAACAACAGAACTGGTTGCATATCTTTGCCTAATATTTTCAAGATGTTGTTGTAATAGTGCGTGCTTATATTTAATATTATTATTACCAGTTATTTGCATTTGTTTTCACTACCTATAAGTTTTTCTATTTATATCTCTCACCTTTTAGCTTATCATACTTTTAGTGACGGCTGTCATATTATGGTCAGCTATCGCATGCCTAGTTAGTTACCCAGTCGTCAGTATTGCGCTCTTGTTATACCGAAATGAAGGACCTAGTCGTTTACGACTAGCCTCTGTCGGACAAATGACTTCAGCTTACCATGATGGTCAAGGGAATTTTCTTAACCCAAGCAGTAGTTATACACGTGAAATGTTCAATCCCAATGGGAAAATAATAAGACGACGTGATACAGAAGAATGGTTTCCTAATCATCCTAGTGATTTCGATACAGATGAAAGTACTGTAGCTATACCAGATGATATTCAAGATAACCTTCAAACAGATCCATCTACTTTAAGTAGAGATCTAACAGCTACGGTGACGAGTCCAAAAATGGTCGATCAGCCACCACCGGTGATAAGTTCATTTGTTGATGACAATTTACCATCATCGTCAATACCATCAAAATCGTCTTTAAAACCTTTATCAAAAAAAATTATAAAACAAGTAATGAATGATGCTCTTAGTATTCCAGAATCTATCAAATTGTTTCATCAATGTAGTCAAGAGACATTTGATTTATCTTATTACGGTAAGAAAATCTAATCATCTTTATTCTCATGTTGAAAATGCAATCAGAGTATTTTATTTAAAACTTAATGGAATAATTTCACAGAAATGAAGCATTTGATATATAGTACATACATATAACTTGTATTTATCAACCTTTTATTATTAAAATCTCTTCCGTCATATAGTGGCATCAACTTGAAATAAATTGGAGCACAAAATAGCCCTCCCATTTTTGTTCAAGAAAACTAACAAACACCAACAAAACCACTTATCTGATTGTAAATCGTATTTTTACTGGCGATGAGCATTTTCATAAATTTCCTGAAGCTCTTATAAGAATCAGTCAAACTCGGAGCGAAATTGATTCGCTGATTATATATTTGAGAATTGTGTAATATTTCGCATTAGCTAAAGTTAATACAGTAAATCACAGAATGCTGACTCAACGATCTAAACCCATGGTATACGCCTCTAGATCAATAGATCCTGACTTCGACTGTATGTATTGGATAATTGTTATACGTTGCTCAAAATTCCTAAACTACGATAAAACAACTGTGTTATTCCAGTTAGTTATATGTGAGGTTTTAAATCCGATAACAATTAGTGAAAGAGAAATTTTCTCAAATAAGATAGCTACTACAATGTTTAAATATTTAGGCGTTTTATAATGAAGCATACTTTGATCTTATTAAACTTAATTCTTCAGAAGAGACTGTTAAGGATAACTAGTAAGAATCTGTAATAGTAGGTTTTGTAATAGCCTGTCAGTCAGTCATCAAACGAAGTAGAACTTTGTACGTACGTACATCAGTTCTAGTTGCCATACCACATTAGCACAGAGATATAATTGTCGATTCAAATCCCGTAGTGGTAGGGGTAGTAAGAGTATAAACAGTAATCAGAAACATTAGGATTTGAAGATGTTATTCAAGGAGTATAATACAATGGAATAAATTTTGGAAGGAAATAAGGGACATCAATAATTCAGAAGATTAGAATTTGGGAGAACACAAAGAGCGTATGCACCTGCGACATTGCAAACGATTTTGAGCCATGTCATTCAGGGTCTCTAACTATCGGTTGCTATCATCTCGCGGTCCCCAACCAGGTAGTCTACACCTACCAACATGACTCAGTCCACTTGTCAGTGACTTCATGGATTTGTGCCATGTTCTGGTCTGGTCGCCCCTAGCTTTCTTCCAACCTGCTCCTATACCACTGAACATCGCACGTCAGGAAGAGGCCAAGTAGTAAATCCATCGTAGCTTCAATTTGACCATAAAAATCAAATTTAAATCTTGATTGTATGCTGATAGTACGTTGTAGAATTCGTTCATGATAATGTTTTGAGATATAGATGTCGAGGTTATTTTTCTCAATATTGTCACATAAAAGACATGTTATCTCTGTGACAGAAAAAATTGTGAAGATGGAAGCAACAATATCCACTCGTGTCATTTCCCTACTAGTTACGATCAAATAACTGTGAATTGGTTGCTCAGTTTTGGCTTTGGATATCACACATCATATTATACAATAGGGACATCCTCACATTTACACAATTAATCACCTTGGCAACAACCCGATTTCGTATCAATAATGTCCTTGTTATGTACGTAATCAAGGTCATCGTTTATGGTTTTAGAGCTACATTATAAGTCTAAGTAATTGAAATACTTGTCTCGATTAACCTGTCATGCTAGTATCTTAGTTGGACGTTTAGCAACGTAGATAATCGTGTTATCTTTTGATGTCATGATGCATACAATTATGAAGCCAGTGAACCCTTTGTAAATGTTACAAGTGGACACGTATTATTTACGACTTAGAATTTTAATAATTGGAAGTATAAATTAGGTGAACACTGCCTTTATTTAGTTCATTATAATGGAATTTTTTCATTACAAAATTTGTCCTGTTGAATTGTTTTGGGCTATTCAATTCTGAAACTTATGAAAGAATAAAATTTTCCATATTCAGATTTACTACAAACAGGATATGCAAATCAACTATAACTCGTGAATAAAAGAAAATAATACTCTAGAAAATAGTTTCCCAAACAAAACTGATCCATTTTAGACTTGAATTCCGTAGTGGTAGAGGTAGTAAGAGTATAAGCAGTAATCGGAAACATTAGGGCTTGAAGTTGTTATTCAAGGAGTATAATACAGTGGAATAAATTTTGGAAGGAAATAAGGGACATCAATAATTCAGAAGATTAGAATTTGAGAGAACACAAAGAGTGGATGGACTTGCGCCATTGCAGACGATTTTGATCCATGTCATTCATAGTCCTTAACCATTGGTTGCTATCGTAGTGGGTATACTATACCTACTAACATGGCTCAGTCCACTTGTCAGTGATTTCATAGATTTTTGCCATATTTTGGTCTGGCCACCCCTAGCTTTCTTCCATCCTACTCCTGCATTATAAAACATCGCACGTCTGGGCAGTCGGTGGTTGGGAATACGTAATAAGTGTCCCAGCCATCTCAACTGATGAAGTTTCACTACTTCATCAATTGATTTGCCATCCTTACCTAGTACCCGTTTCTTAACAACTGAGTTACTTAATCGGTGGTCCCATGATATATGAACAGTGCTTCGAAGACACCTATGATCGAATACTAGTAACTTACGAATATCCTCTTCTCTAACCGGCCATGTTTCACTGCCATAAAGTAGGACGAAACGAACTGCTGCGCAGTAAACTCGTCCTTTGGTTGATAGAAGGGTATCTCGCCTACGCCATAAATGACGCAAGTTGACAAAAGCTAGTCGAGCCTTTTGTATCCGTGCTGAGATTTCGTCACACACCAGACCACAAGGGTCGGTAGTCACAAGAAAACTATTTTCTTTCATCGTAAGAGAACTAACCATCTAAATGTGATTAATATATATAAAATCGATTTACTAATAAGAATTAAACTACCAAACAACTAACTCATGTACTTTCATAATCTTATAATAACTACTTAATTATCATGGTACTAACGAGTATTATTATTGTTTGATTTCTTGATTGTATTAGAATATCTTTCCACTTTCTAATGTACATGTACAAAATGAGTTCTTTGATTAATTAATGTTTACTATCGATTTGTTTACAATATGAAATTAATAATAATAATAATAATAATAATAATAATAATAATAATAATCGTGTTGACATCTCAATTACGAAAGTTAACATTCTTCAAGAATAAAAGTTCTCGGTTTTTTTTTTAAGTATAGACAATATAAAACGATCTTAGGAAAGAAATGTATTTCAATGATACTTCAACAATGAACTAATTATATTTATTCACAGTATTTTATCCTTTAAAATAAACCATTCGAAAAAGAAAAAAAACGAGAAGAATAATTTATTTCCCTTTTCTTTTCATATATTTGTTTGTTTGTATTAAAAAACAAAAAAATTATGTTTACCTTGGTGAATAAAATAATAATAATAAAAAGAAGAATGGTAATTTTGAAATAATAGTACATTTTTTAGTTGTAAAAATGAAGATGAAAGACTTCTTCTCTTTATATAATTATCTATCTGTATGTAATTATGTATACAAAAGACAAATTCAAGAAATGTTCGGTTGAATTAACTTTGTTTTTAAAAAAGAAAGCTTAGAAAATTCGTGTCAATTGATGATAAAAACAAAGAAGAATTTCATTTATCTCTTTAATGGAACAGTTTTAAATGTATTTACTTGAATGCTAAGTTACTAGGATACTGAAAATTGTTGAAATAAAACTTTTTATACTATGAATTCATTTGATATTGTTTGCTTGAATCTTCCCATTGACGTTTAAGACTGCAATTGATCAGTCTGTTATTGGCATATGTACATCTTGTGCCATTGCCTTAATATTGCCTTAATTCACAAGCATTATTAGCGATGATGAATAGTGGCTAGCGGTGGAATCCAGAACGCGCGTTTCATTCTATTTGGGATTCGTCAGCTGAATGTCCCTGCACCTCAGAGTCCACCCTGGAACTCGAACCCAGTACCTTTCGCTATCAAGCTTATGAATTAAGGCAATATCGAAGCAGTACAGACAGTATGCACATATGCCAATAACAGACTGATCAATCGCAGTCTTAAAAACACAATGGGAAGATTGAAGCAAACAATAAGAATTAAATTTAAATTCACCCCATTGCACAAGCAAGTGGCTATCAGGACTCAATAGCTGAGTGGGTAACGCGATGGCGCTTGAAGCGAATGGTACTGGGTTTGAGTCCCGGAGTGAACATCAACTCTGAGATGCAGATACATCCAGCTGACGAGTCCCAGATAGGACGAAACGCGCGTCCTGGATTCCACTGCTAGCCGCTAGCCATCTTTGTTTATATTATAAGTTTATCCAAGTCATATAGTATTATTCTTTGATAAGTTTTGTTCCCTGAAATCTTAAAACGTTAACTTCTTAGCCAATTCCTAGATTGTCACAATCTTAAACTTTCAAACTCTGATTGAATTTAGAAGGTGAAAATATGAAAGAATCTTTACTAATAGAGTTTGTTTAATTTTACAAAATAAAGAGTATTTATGAAGTTATGAGTAACCTTATAAACCTATAGAAAATTACTCAGATTCCGAATTAATTTGGTACTTAAGCAATTAGAGATTAATGAAAATTAATTTAAGATACTTTACGGCTTCTAATAAATTTTTCATAGAATTATGGATACCTTTTTACAATTTCAATAACTTAGTTTCATGCATAACTTTTATAAACAGTGATTAGGAGAAGATTATTTTATCACTAAACAAATCTGTATTTTCGTCAAGTAATGTTTTCAGGCAAATGAGTAAATATTTAAAAGGTTTATTCTTTCTATCAATATTATCTGCATATTTATGGATAATGAAATCTGTCATGATAAATTGGTGTGTGAAATGTATTACATAATGAGAGAAACTATAATTCATTTATACATAAAACAAACACAAATGAAGATTACACACTTTTAGATGGACAGTAATCTCTATTAGATTTTAGAAAAAAAGAAAGCTTCAAATGAAACTCAATAATTAAACTATAATCATACCAAAAAAAATGGATTAGTAATATTTTTGTCAAACTATAATCTGAGGATATCAGTTACTTTACGTTTAAGATTAGGAACTCCCAAATATTCAGATAAAACTACTTTAAATATAAACTGAAAAAACTTTTAAAGACTGTAGAACACTGATAACCTGTTTTGACTTCATTTTGAACTTCTCCACAGTGAGTATACAAACTTTATATAGCGTTGACTTTGTAGTGAAACTATACAAATCTTTATAAATCATCTATATTCAGTGTTGAAAATTTGCCATCATGCTTTTTTGTTTCCTTAGGTATATTTTCAGTGTTTTTATCACTTATTCATGTCATTCTACTCATTATTACATATTCTCTACATTACTTATTCGCATTTGTTCTATTTTCTTTCATACCCATGAATTTCCATCAATCTGGATTTGTTTTTGTCTGCAAAGACACTTGAATAGTTTAGAATAAAGGATCTTTTAATTTTCACTTTGTTTAACCATGAATTTCCATACGATTTACTTTCGTCAGATCAAGAAAATTATTTGTTCAATGCATCTTCATATTGTTATCGATACATAATTTAAAACAAACAGTCAAAACTAATATAAGATATTTAAGAAGTTTACTCAAGAGTTTTTAAATAACATGATATATAATATATCTGTGTATATGCTTCATTATTGTGATCTTTGTTTTATCTTTTGTTTTTCAACTAGGTCTATACGATGCCAACGGTTTACCGATACATATTGCACGAGCTAATTTCTCTGAAAGAATATATGATATTTTAGTCTGTGTAATTCTCGCTATCGCTGGTATATTCCTATTACTGTTCGGTTATGTAAGTATATGAGCGAAAATCAAATTCAACTTCTTGGTGAAATGATAAAATGTTATTTTGTATTTTCTATTTCAGAAAAAAATTAGGTGCCGTTTAAATAAAGCTGTAAGATATTTTACTACTTACTACGTATGAGTAGTAAAATAAGTCAGACTTTGTTGGATTTTACAAGATATTATTTACTTGTAAGACAATCGTCTGATCAAAAAATTCATTTTGTTGTGAAAACTTCTTTATTCAATGAAATGAAAGGCTGTTAATCATATGAATAGTTTTTATTTAAATATGACTTATTTATTTATAAACATAAAGGTGTTTTTGTCCGTGACAGTAACTATAAATTCACTTACCTTAATTATTTAATCTCTATATTGATCACAAGTGAATGAACTTTTCATTTTATCCACCATGTCACAGTAGTAAAGAAGAATGATCGTTTTCAAATGTCGTCGATTAAAATAAACGGGTGAATTATCACTAAACAACTGATGACGACAATAATGAACGGGTCCGAAAGTATCTTTGTTTGGTATTTAACAGCTGATTAGTCGCAACTTCAATTGATATGTTACATCTACTGAAGAAAAAAATAAATGAAAATAATGCCAGCTTAGTGGTCTAGAGATTTAGCGTTCGCCCGCAAGACAGATAGGTCCTGGGTTCGAATTTCGCGACGCAGGATCGTCGATGCGAACTGCTGAGGAATTTCTTACTAGGACGAAACGGCCGGCCAGTGCTTGCAGGTTTTCCATGGTGGTTTAGTTTCAATCGACTCATGATCTCAACTGTTGGAAACAATTTTATTTGTCTAATGTATTTTACAAAACCTTTATTAACATTACTTAAGTTTAAATAACAAAAATACACTGAAAAAAAAGGCAAATGGCTTGGTTTCTAAGATTAAACCTTGTCATAGAAAAACACGGTGACTTTATTGTTGAAGCAGGCTTGTTTATCGTGGTGTTACTTTCAAATCAATTAATAACAAAATTACTTGCCGATTGGAATAAAACAGTAAGAACTTTTAAATCCTCAGTCTTTATTTGCCATATTACATCGAATATTATCCGTAATTACAGTGTCAACTGTGAAGACTAACTAGTAACAAGTAATCGTGAAAATACAGGAATTGTTGGATGGTGCATATGATTTTAGCAAGAAAATAATTTGATTTGACGAAAGGCTTTCATCAAATTTCTACACAATGCTATAATCTTTGTTGCCTCATAACAATCCATTTTGCAATTTTGAGTTCATTTATCATCCAGTTAAATTTAAAGTAATTTGGTTATATGAAGATCGTTCTAATTATTAAGTCAGAGAAAAATATGATCGGTTAATAAATACAATTTGATGATACTATTGTACATTTACTAGTACCGCATATATTGAATTACATTTTTAGTATTTTTGCCAATAATATGTTTTTACTCATATTTCTTATCATTTCAGATACAAATAATTATTTGTACTGCTATGAATTATGCTCGAATGCAAGAGGCTAGATATTATGAAACATCTGATGTTGGTGAAGAAGGTGTTGCATTACAACAATAAAATACACTTCATAAAAATAATTCTATAATTTCATTAAATATGATTCATTATAATTTCAATCATACTTTCACTATCCTTCATATATACAATTATCTACTTTAAAATTTACCAACAATATTAATGCATAAATATAGGAAAGATGATCATTGCACATTGTATAGTTATTTGAATAAAACAAAGAATAAACACTTCCAAAAGACAGTTTTCTCAAGAACAAGATATCTCTATTTGTTCCAGAATAATCAATATAATAATAACAATCTTCTTTATCATTAACTTACGTAATATCTCATTATTTACATCCAATTTTATGTTTTTACTTTTAAATCTATCATTATTCATGTTGTTCTTTTTTGTACTTTTGTTGTCTGTCATGTTTGTTTGTTTGTTTTTCTCTTTTAAATAATCATGTAGTTGAAAAATAAAGAAAAAAAATAAAGCAAACTAAACATTATTTAGTTGCTTATTTTTTCTTCTCTGTTAAATCATTCCATAACTTTTCATCATTTACCATCTAAATATTATTTCCTGTTAGATAATCAAAAGAAACAAAAATACTGTTCATCATTTGAAAATCTATACGCTACATTTTGATTGTTTAAATGACGTTCAATGTTTCAATTTTAAAAGAAACGAAAATAAGAGGGAGAATGATTTAATGATATTGATTTGTTAAAAAAATATCTTATATTTCCGCTTTTTTTATTGGAATTCATCAAACTGTATTGCTTAACGCTTTAATTCATTTTACTTTATTTATATTAATTAAATAGTCAACATTATAGTAACAGACGAATACATATAAAAAGCTTCTTTAATATGTTCGATATATATATATATATATAAACATAGTTTTGTATACAACATATGAATGTTTATTTTTACCATTTCTTTGTTTGGTTCTTTTATTGATAAACAATTAATCAATAATAATTCTTAATTATAACTTTTTATTTACACAAGTTTAAAGTTTCATAATTTGATTTTTTTTTTTGGTTTTGTTCTGTTGTTGTTCAATTTTTCATATAGTTAAAACAATAATCAATGATACTTAACCGATGAATGTTCAATTAATAATGAGAATTAAATACATATGAAGTTTGTTTCATATTATTCCTCATTCCCTCTCTACTATGTATGTTTGTGTGTTTTCTTTTATTTTTATTGTGCTTGTTTATTTTAATTGATTATTTTCTATAAATTTTTGTTGTTTTTTATAAGAATATTATTATTACTATCAATGATAACAATAATAATAGTAATGAAGTCAGAAGGAGTTTTGTGGATATTATAATAATTTCAATATTTGAAACTCCTCAGCAGTTCGCATCCATGATACCACCTTGCGAGGTTCAAACTCAGAACCTATCGGTCTCGAGCGAGAGCGCTTAATCTCTAAATCACTGAGCCGGTTGAAGAGTCCCACAGTAGGGCGAAACGACTGTCCAGTGTTTCCACGTTTTCTATGGTAATCTAACTTCAATTGACTCATGATCTTAACTGGTAAAATAATAGTAATAGTTCAAATGGTGTTGATGTAAATTATGTTTGCTCTATAAAAGATTATTGTAAAATTTTGGAACAGATATCTAGCTTGCATACTAGTTTGTACTATTCACCAATCTTCATTTTTAAAAGAGTTTTTGTTTTTTCGAGTTACGAACGCTCATAACCTAGTGTAATTCAGAGTCGTTATCATTGACTACTCAAGCTACCATTGACATTCTGTAGGAATTATTTGTTCAGATTAATTAATAAATATGTATTTAATACATATTACTTGACCTTTACTGTGAGACTTCGCGTGTTTCGTCTCCAAGATATTTTTTCAGGTGAGAAACTTCCATATGAAATTTGTAAATGATATTCATTAAAATAATAATAAATTAGAACTGTTTATGAACGGATCAAATAAGAGCTCACTGTCTGAACTCTATAAAATAAGTCGGAGGAAGATTGTGTTATTTTCTAAAAGGACAATCGCAGTGATACATACATAACACGATCGAGTGATTTCAGTTGACATATATCTGCATGCAGTTTAATTATTTCATATGGCTGCAATAATTAAAGTATTTCAGTAGTCAAGTCTTTATATTCCCATTGGTTATTACTTATGCTGCGTACATTTATTTCCTGAGAAATAATTAGACAGTGCCCGTGATACCACAAATAAGTTCATGAAGATCAGTTCGGGCTTTCGTATTTAACTAGATAAATTCACTATTTGATAATAAACCATAGATTATTTAGCGATCTAATTAAGTGAAATTTTCAAGGAATTAAACTACTCAATTCCCTAATTGCTAATTATTACAGGAAATCACTTCCAAAATATGTCAATAGACTCTAAATATCTAAGGAATATTTCCGAATTCTTTTTCTTTGAGAGTCGTAAAAGTTCAAAGTGTTTTCACAGTACGTATGTAGTGAACAAAACACCAGTGAGGACGATCGAATGTATTTGACAAGAAGTTACAGAGCATCTCAATAAAACCTGACAACCATATAGTAAATCGTTAGTCTGCGAAATCTCAACCCATCATCTCAAACTTGACTGTTCCTGTTGCAAACATCAATCCATTATCTCAGATTTCATTGTTCATGCGTTTTCATACCAATGGTGTTCCGTTTCCGTTCTTTCCTCATCGACCTTCTACTGAAATACAATTATATGCCTGACCACCGTTATATACTACTTGTGTGGATATAAGTAACCCACACCACACGTATAGGTAATAAGTGTAGTTTTCGTGTCGAGTTAGTCAATGAGAGAGACACCAATCAAAGTTAGGGGAAAATCTCTTTACTAAATTATATCCACGAAATCACTGATTTCAACAAATTTGTATTCCTTAACGAAAACCAATTGATTTAGTTTCTGTAAATGAAATAACTTATTTTTACTCTATATATAATCTATATTTACGTCACTGTCATATAGATTGACCGGGGAAGTATGACAATAGCATGTATAGGTAAATGTGCCTATTTTCCATAGTGTACTAAAAAGTGAAAAATCTGATCAATATCATAAAAACAGTATTACATCTGCTCGATTCTTCTTAATTCTTTCTTAATCATCAAATATCAATTGCTTAAGTAATTCTGGATGTTAATTATCATGTTTGAAACTACATCAAAAAATTTTATTTTATGATAAGCGGCTTAGGTAGTTTGCCTTTCTACAAATCAGCATTCGAAAAGCCACCATGATAGTAGGACAATGAATCTTCTTTATTTGACATTAATTTAACGTCTTCCAATTAACAATTACTTCATGTTAAGTGGAAATATTTTGTTATTCAACTGAAAATTTTTTTATAGATTCTCTTTCTGCGACTTCTGAATTAAGATGGTCTACCATAATCTATTTGGTCATCACTCCTAAATTCGAATTTCACATTTGAAAATTATTCTTCAAGCTTATAGTTTTCTCCCTTCAATAATCCTACGTAATCTTATTTGAAATCATATCCATGGTTATGCAACCGATTATCAATTACTAAGTTTTAAACAAAGATGAATATTGTTCTGTGAATGAAATCGTTTTAGCTATCTGACCCATTTTATGTGCCGAACATTTGTCGATTTGTACACAACATTTATACTATGTGTTAGGACCCGAGAAACATAATGAATGGTAACTTTGGGATCCTTTTATGGACCAATACTGAACGTATATTTTTATCGTATAATTGTTAAATAAATAAACTATTCATATTCATGTTCTTCTTATTATAAGCTTTATTTTGACCCATAGACTATTATTATACGTCTTACCATTCTTGAGTTATACCCAGTATATTAATTACTACCTCCCTCATTCACAGCCACATTTGGCTAATTCTTGTACAAATGTTGTTTCATATTTTACTGGTACGTTTTGATCTGTTTGATTGGTATATAAACTCAGTATGTTTGAAATATAATGATTCATATTACAGAGGCTGAGACTGGTGTTTTGAACTTAACTGGCTGGGTTAGGCGGAAAGCAGGACTGATCAGGACTCTAGGCTGCTCGCACGTGTTTTACGCGTCCTTGATTCGATCGATAAGTCACTGCCATCTAATCGGCGGTCACAAGATATATGATAAACCGGATTAAAAACTTTTTTCACTGTACGTACAAAACAATCTCGTTTTACTTGATTTTATTAAACTCTGTGTTGTAACAAGTTGGTTAGCTAGTAAGACATTTATCCATAAAGCTTATGGATATTTCGTAGTCAGTTCCTTAATTTAACTTTGACATTCTCGTACTGTAGTAAGTTTTCAATCGTCTACTGCTTGTTATCCTTTATCACTTTTTGTTTTGGAAACTAGTAATCCCACTGTGTACAGTGTTGATCATTTTGTAAATATTCTCTCACTTGATTACGGATAAAATAATTTGTTAACAGTTATATGTATATATATATATATATATATATATATATATATATATATATATATATATATATATATATATATACTCGTGATGATATTTATCTAGTCTCTAAGCTCGACGAATATTTACGAGGTAGACCACACTTGACATTTGAAGCTTCATACATTCACCAGTGTATACATACTGACTTTTCCTTAGTTTAGGTTAGACTGAAATAAAATTTTAATAAATCATGCACTAACGCCTAATTATAGGTTTAAGTTCCTTTTTTGAGTTATGAAATGAAGTTCGAAACGCGTGATTAAATGATTTAGTAAGACAGTTGAAGTTACTTTACAAAAATTGAAAAAAATACAAATTTCTGAGAATGAAATTATAATATATATTAGAAAAATGTTGCTCATGTTTATTCCAAATCCGTAATAATATTCCAACGCCACACATTCATTGTACTTCACATATCATTTATCCTATAATCTACTTAGCTTTAATGTACATATGTGAAAATTATATTTGAAATATTCTCAGCGATTGAAATTTAACTAATTCCAACGTTTCGTCCAGCTAACTTGTCTGGACTTCTTCAGGGTAATAATCAAAATCAAAATTATCAAAGAATTAGTTAAATTTCAATCGCTGAGAATATTTCAAATATAATTTTCACATATAATGACTTCTCTATACTCTGCGCTCAATTACTGTCAATCTATTCGTTCTAATCTTGACGAATATTCGTATAAATTTAATGTACATAATTCATGTCGTTTAAATCAAAATATGTAGTGTGTGAAGTACTCAACCTCATCAAAACATTATATCAACTTAATAATATTTTAACTACAGATGTGGATTTTACATTTTATCATTGTCAACAGTTAAAGTAATTCTCATTAGGCTAATCATAACACTACATTCGACCAGTATTTCAACTATTCCGTTAAGTAATGGAAACTGTGATTACTTACTTACTTACTTACTTACACCTGTTACTCCCAATGGAGCATAGGCCGCCGACCAGCATTCACCAACCCACTCTGTCCTGGCCCTTCTTTTCTAGTTCCATCCAATTCTTGTTCATTTTTCTCATGTCTATTTCCATTTCTCGGCGTAATGTGTTCTTTGGTCTTCCTCTTTTCCTTTGGCCTTGAGGATTCCATGTGAGGGCTTGTCTTGTGACGCAGTTGGGTGCTTTCTTCAATGTGTGCCCCATCCACTTCTAGCGCTTCTTCATAATTTCTTCCTCTGCTGGGATCTGGTTTGTTCTCTCCCACAGTTGGTTGTTGCTAATGACTAGTATTAACTATTTCTTGATTACGTAAAAGGTTGTTTCATAAGAGGATAAGATTCTTCTGTAGCACTCATACACGATACTTCACAGAATAGAATAACAAATCTTTATAGCTAAAGATAAGTACAATATTCACTAATCACTGATTTAAAAATTAGTAATCGATACTTTCCAATTGATAACATTACCTTGGTTACAATGTTTTGATGACATTTCTATGTTTTAAACATTTTCCTTTTGATGTTTAATGACACCTATTAAAACATTTTTAGTTTAATCAAAAAAACTAATTCAAACAATTCACTTGGTATTGTTTGGCTTGTATTTTCCCGTTGAGTTTTAAGACTGTAGTTGAACAGTCTGTTATTGGCATATGTGCATACTGTGCGTATGCCTCGATATTGCCTTAATTCACAAGCTTTTTGTAAACAATGATGGATAGCAGATAGCAGTGGAATCCATGACGCGCGTTTCGTCCTATTTAGGACTCGCCAGCTGAATGTACCTACATTTCAGAGTTGATGTTCACTCTGGGACTCGAATCCAATATTTTTCAAATCTTTCTAGATCTTTTATTTTGTTTATGATGATAAAATGATTTCTTATAACAGAAAATACATACTACAT